TAAATTAGAATTTATTATATCTACATTGTTCTAGCTCTTCTTATTCCATTATTCCAATGAGTGGGAAGCTATCCCAGGAGAAAATCCTCCCTCAACTCAGAATTTCTAATAGAAACATCTGATGATATTGTTCCATATGTGCTACAAGGATGAGTAGAGAAATAATTTCTAGAAAAGGCATCAGTGAGAAACCTCAAGTGCAGGGAGGATGCTATGGCTCTGCCTGGGTACCACTCTAGGCACGAGGACGATCGCTCTGTGATCATCTTTAACAATCATTCGGCTTGTATTACTTTATTAGTCTATTATACCAACCGTTTTCAAAATGTGTAGTGAGATCAAGCAGACTTCTATTACATGGCTGGTATAGGGAAACAGGAAGAATCTAAACGTTTATAGAACCAGAATTTCTCCCAGCCACAGACTATATTTTTTTACTTATTGGTCATTTATTGAGATCATAGGATACAGATGTTAGGAGTTCATCAACTAAATAAAAAGTCACTAATAGGTGTTAAGGTTGATAAGAGTGTTAATATATTATAAAATAAGTGAACAGAAAGCTAACAATTATGTATGGCCAAAATGGACAGCAGCAAAATGGCCAATGACATTATGCATTTCAAAGTTCATATACTCTAATTTGTTTTCATGACAAGGGATTCTATCCAAGGCCTTTGCATTGATCTGCAACCCCAGAACTTTTCATGTTTTATTTCTGAGGTACAGCCCTACTAAGTTGCCCAGGCTGGACTCCAGTTTGCCATCCTCCTGCTTCAGCCTCCCATGACACTGGGATTATGGCCTTGAGTCACTATCTCCAGGTTACACTATGAATTTTATGCAGTTTTTTTGTTTCTGATTTTGATGTCTGGTTGGAGATTGAAGGAAAACAACCCTAACAATCTTGACAGCAGAATAGCCAGCTTCAGAAAATGCTATAGTACTTACATTTTTACAGTTGACTCTCATTATTTGCATATTCAATGAAGTTGCAACCAACAACCAATGACACTGAACTATTGTCTGAACCTTTCCTGAACTATTTCCTAGAGGAAACAGGTTGGGGCTCCCATGAGCCTCTGGTCACAATATTTTGAGGAGCAAGTCAACGCACAACCTTGTGTTATGCATGTCTCTGTTAAAAGACATCTTCTTTAATACACATCACTGATTCATTACCAGTGTGAGCCTACTGCCAGCAGCACTCCACCTCAGGCCTGGACTGAGCTCAGCAACACCCAGCTTTCCTCTGTGAGGCACGCCGCGTCCTCCTGCGTTTGGGTGCCACAGGCAGCACTTGAGCATGAGGCATGCGGGTCACTTTGACACCATCACCAATAAAAAGCACAAAAATGCCAAGTGGATCATTAGGTGAGCCACGGAAAGGACACTGGTTTACGGTCTGACAGCTGAAGCCAGAGAGAGGGCAGAGTGTAGCTTTGACCTCAGCTGGAACAGGCAACGCTGGGGGAGCATATTTTTGCCCACTTTTGCCACTCTGCACATGACTGGAAATGACCACAACAGTAGCTCAAGTATTGATTTTGAGTCACAGATGAAGCTTGCCAAGTAGATAAAAGCAGAGTCGCACACAGCTGAGTAGCCACTGTTTGCCAACTAAAGGAAACTACGTCTGTTTCCTGTGATGCTGCTTTTTACTCTTGCTGCACTTGCCCGTTCTCTGTTGTCCACCTCTGGAGCTCCTGTTCTTCCTTCAAAACCACATCAGGAAACTACACACACACACACACACACACACACACACACGCACACATGCGCGCACACACACAAACACACACACACACACACACCAATCATCCCCCTCCCAGTAGCTTTGCTTCTTCGATGAATTGATCTCTTCCTTGCAAATCAAATTGTACTGAACTTTTTATTTTACATTAACCTCCTTTACTTGCCTATCAAACCCCTGAGACTATATATGAGCCAATGTTACAGTTCTTACTATATGCCAGGCTATATGTTAAAGGGTACCTCACACAATGTCTTTCTTTCTTTTTCTCTCTTCCTTTCTTTCTTTCTTTCTTGTTGGTCTTTTTGAGACAGGGTCTCTCTATGTAGTTTAGGCCTTGAGCTCACTTTGTAGCCCAGGCTGGTCTTAAACTCCCAGTGATCCTCCTGCCTCAGCCTCCTGAGTGCTGGGACTACAGGCATGTGCCACCATGTCCAGTTTATGACACCTAATTTAATCTTACAATAATTTTACCTCCCCATTTCGCAGCTGCAGAAGCAGAGGCCTAGAGCAGTCATGTCACTTGTCGCATTCCATACCAGAAGAATTGGTATTCAAACCCAGAGCCCAAGAGTTATTTGTATGTTTCCTCTGTTTGTTTGTTTCTGTGGTATTGGACACTGAACTCAGGATCTTTACACTGAGCTACGTGCCAGCACCTCCTCCACCCTTTCTAACTTTTGAGACATGGTCCTGCTAAGTTGCTAAATTGCTCAGGTGGTCCTTAAGCTTTCCCTGCTTCAGCCTCTTAAGAGTTCTGGGGTTACAGGTATGTGTTGTAACCTGACCAAAGCGCTGCCCTCCTGTTCTGTATACGCCGTCTTAGTAAACCATGTCAGCTACTGTAAAATGTGACTTTTTGTTTCTTAAGCCCACTCCTTTCAGGTGTGTTCTACCCTGACGTTAGTAACTCCATCTTGACTCTCTGATTGACCCTTGCCCTAGTTAATTACAATGACTCCATCTTGGTTCTCTGATTCACCCCTGCCCTGGTTCTGAGAATGTCTTAAGGCGAAGAAAAACAGGTGATCCTGGCAACAGATTGGCCACGTTGTCCTTATAAGGTCAGCATGACCACATACCTAGATTACACACCCTGTTCTGTACTCCACCTAGTCCAAAAGGGGCAACTTCTCTGTGTCCAGCTTCCTCCAGGTGGGCTACAACCAATCCTGTAAAAGGTCATATGCTCCCTTAACCACATTAACATCTGCTATTGGCTTCTGTGATCGGCTTGCTTGGATGGGCAGTTTTGCCGTTTTGGGGTTTAAATTACTGTGCCTCCCCTTACTCAGGGCTCCTCTCTGTCTCTTGGACTCTGAGGGTGCGCTGGGTACCAGCTAAAATAAAGCGCTACCATCTTTTTGGACATTTTGCCTCATTGTCTCCTTCTTGGGTTACAACAGTATGCACCATCATGTCCAGCTGAGTCCAAACTTTATGCAAAATAAATAGTATTAGCACTCATACATCATCAACTACTTACTATGTTCCAGGCAGGGTGATAAAAGGTTCACACAAGTTATCTCATCAGTAATTCTTGTTTCTATCTCTGTGGCCAGGTAATAAAGGGCTTGACTTATAAATGTCTATTGGGTTTAATTTACATCTCCCAGTTCCCAAATATTCCTTCTACAACCAACAGCTTGAGAGTACTCTATATTTTCAGCAGCAGCTGAAATGACAAAGCATAGTCCACTACCCTTCATCCCTCCCTCAGCTTCCTTGCTTCATTCACATGTATGTCCTTCCGTGTGTTTGCTCTTGATGCCCAGGACGCTCACAAGGCAGCTTCCCAAAGCCATGTAGTGTGGGAGAAGAAGCGTTGTTCCTTTGCAAAGGTTCCTTGCCTTTAACAATAACTCCTGATGATGGTTTACAGTACGACCCAAATCCTCACGGAGGAGCAGAACCATTGAAGAGCTGTGTTTTCCCTGAGGGCTAGGAGATAATGGCACAGGAGGCTAAGACGACAATTTCCTGGTGTAGTTTTAATTTCCTGGTTTTTTTTCTTTCATGAATTAAACGTTTCCTGGTGTAGTTTTAATTCCAAATAAAACCTCCCACACTGACTTTGAAGTAGGCAGAATCAGCTTTAGGCATGAGAAAAGTTAGGGAATGTGCTTGCAGGAAACAGGAATAGGCTTTAGGAAGTTTGCAAAAGAGAAACCATTTGTGTCAGGCATGTAACAATGAATGGGACCAAGCAGGGATAAAATCAGAACCCTCATCTCCTTTCAAAGGCAAAAACCTAGACAAGACTTATGGCTTCGTTTCTCTTTTTCTATTCACTTCTCTCAAATAATCTGAATACTTCAGTAGGAATTATTATCAACTGTATAGCCAGGAAGTTGACCCTAAAGAAAGTCTACTTGCCCCAGGTCTGTACGTACTGGTGTTGCTATTGGTAACTGTAATAGTTGGTGAAAGAAGAGACTGTCTGAATGCTAAACACAATCCCTAAAGCGTGTGCCCTTAAATCCTTAAATCCCTGTGCCAGGGTCTGGCAAGAACTCTGAATGAAGTGCTGAGGAGTACCAGTCCCATCTTAAGGAGCAGACACTGTTCACACCCTGTACCTTCACAGAGCCCAGAGGAATAAAATCTCTCTGGCCAGGTCCTTCAACTTTACCAGCGAAAACACAACCCTGACATTGTAAGTGAATCTCTTAGTTTTAAACTGGTCAGACTAACTTTTCTTTTAATGTGAGCAGAATACATACCAAACAAACTGTGTCTGCAGTTTGCCCCAGCGGGAGACTCGTTTTCCACCTCTAGCTGAACAGTCTTCGTAATACCTCTGTCAAATCCCTCAGTGTGCCTGCTCTCAGCCATACTGGGGGTGAGAGGGTACTGATACTCCTGCCCACGGCCCCTACCTACTATGGCCTGCCTTTTATGAGTAAGTACTTCTTTCAGAAAGGTGGTTCCCAGGACTGTGAAACACATGCACCTCCTGCAGCGTCAGTGATCCAAAGCCTCCAGCCGGGTCCTCCCCCCCCCCAACTCCTCTTCCTCCTCCCGCAGCCCAGCCCGCCCTCTGCCCTGTCCTTTCCACCTCAGAACGGCTCTTTCCTTCTCCTTCCCTTCTCCTCTGCTCCACTTCCCTCTCGCCTCGTCTTCCTTCTCACCTCTCCTTTCTCTCCTCTCCACTCTGCTCCTTCTCTGGAACTTTTACCCTCTCCCGTCTCACCCCTTATTCACTCCTCCCTCCACCAGCACTCGGGAACTTCGGGCGCTTGCTCACCAGGAGTACACCAACACCGGCCTGGAGTACTTCTTGTGATGGGAGCGGAGTGTCAGGGAGCCCTTGCGCTCCAGCAAGTCCGTGGGTCCGATCTCATACCAGTTGTATTTACTGTCACACCAGTCCTGGCCTGAGCTATCAGAGCTGCCCATGGCCCGCTGGAGGAGAGTGGTGACCTCAGAGGCCTTCTAGCTCTGTGATGCCCTACGGGACTAAAATTCGGCGTCTTTCGTCTCCTAGGCAACAGGGGGCGCGGTCACTGAAGGGGCGGATCCCTGGCTTCCTGGACTGTTTCCCAGAATGCAGCGACGCCAAGGCGTCTGCTGCGCAGATGTTGCGAAGGGGCTGCGTTTTCTTCGCATCTGTAGCTTCGCTCGCCCATTAGCCTCATCCTAAATGTGGCTGGGCGGAGTGGAGGAGCGGAGTGGATCAGTTAAAGGCTAAAGAAAGGAAGGGCGAGGTTCCTGAGCCCCAGGTGGTCTATTGGGATTATCCCTGCGGGTGTTTTTTGCTATCTCTCCTCGTTTAGCAAAATCACTTAACTTTGAAGGAGAGCAGGAAGCCACCTCCTCACATCCTGAATTACGTCCTTACTCTACAGCTTTCCTGCCTGTGGAAAGGGACCAGTCATTCGGTAAATCGGCTGAAAAGTCTGAGGATCGGAAAGCGTGGTTCCAGCTCCGAGGCCGGAGCAACGCGAGCGAGATGGGAGTAACGCGGAGATTGCAGCTGCCACCATGAGCCTCCTCAACAAGCCCAAGAGTGAGATGACCCCAGAGGAGCTGCAGAAGCGGGAGGAGGAGGAATTTAACACGGGTCCACTTTCTGTGCTGACCCAGTCAGTCAAGAACAACACCCAGGTGCTCATCAACTGCCGTAACAAGAAACTGCTAGGCCGGGCGAAGGCCTTTGACAGGCACTGCAACATGGTGCTGGAGAACTTGAAAGAGATGTGTACTGAGGTCCCCAAAAGCGGCAAGGGCAAGAAGAAGTCCAAGCCAGTCAACAAGGACCGCTACATCTGCGCGGGGACTCAGTCATCGTGGTGCTGCGGAACC